CCCCTGGAGGTTTTGTTTCACAGCTGAATGGTTTTTGCAATTGTTCATGATTTCATCCACCTTGACGGGCAAGAAAGCTAACCCCAGATCATGATGCTACTGTCACCAGGTTTCACTGTGGGCATGTGTTTCTGAAGAATTGTGGCCCAAAAATGTAAGTTTGGTTACATTAGACCATAAAATATTCTTTCACTAAGTTAGGGAGATTTTAGCAAGACCTGAATGTTTTCTTTGGATGAAAAATCGTGTTCTTTCAAGCCTACTTTTTAGTCCAAACATACAAACAAAACGAACATTTATACGAAACGAGACTGTTGTCAATCATAGAAAACAACCAGTAAATAAAATAGATGCTTTCATTTTCTTGACAGTTTTTCATCAGTTTTGGAGAAATATCTAGTTCTATTTATGTCACTGTATCCCATATTATTTCCCAATAACTGATAACTGTTTTCACTGGTCCGTGGTATATGCATGATGCTGTGGGCTTTTTGTGCTCTTCTCCTGACAGATACATTTGTGATTATTTTGATCCTTTGTAATCTAAAAGTGTGGTTTTAACTGAAGGAGTAAAGTGTAAAAAAAACTTCATGGACAGCCTAACTTTCATTCAGATTAATCACAATTACTATAACTAATGTTAGGTGTGAATCCAAGAGGTTAAAATGTTGAAATTGGTTCATAAAATCAGATTAAGGATGAGAACCTTTTTAGATTTTTCTTTAAATTTTTTTTCTTTTTTTGTCACATGAATTGCACAAGGTGTATCAAATCAGTGTGAAATTTTAACAAGTTTTTTTTTCATGGCCTAATATTTTCTGACACAAAAACCTGGCTTTTTGACAGGGGGATGCAAATGTTTGAAAGACACTGTGTGAAGATGTTTACCATGAAAATGAAATGTTTTCTGAGTGTGAAATCCCTGGAAGTCATACATGTGGCTCTGGTTTCCAGAGGCGAGCTCCTGAAGTCTGACATAACCAGTTTTATATCAACAGGGAGCCTGATTTAGAGGTCTGGTCAGCATTGGTTCTGGATGTCCTTCTTTGGAGGTTTGTCTGGGCTTGTCTTAATGGAAAATGGAACCCTGTGGCAGAGGTTTGGGTTTCAATGGAGAGGGATGTCTAGGAACCCTTCTTATGTGGACGGGGGGATGGACGGACGGATGGATGGATGGATTCAAATTATTTCAAACAGAACCTAATCCTCCAAGCTGTTAAAGTGAGAGCAGAGCAGCAGACGAGAGAATTAAAAGTTGAAACTAAGCTGCCATAAACAGCCCAGCAGGGATTATTACTGTCATCTTTATTATCTCTCATTGCACATTACCATATGTCTGAGGCAATCATTTCATCACTCATTTCTAAATAATGATCATCACCATGTTGATCTGAGGGCAGACGCTCGGCTTTGCGGGGTTGCTGAGATGAAACAATGAAATGAAACAAATTTAGAACAGATCAGGAGCTTTGATGTCTGTTTGTCAGAGAAATCAATAAGGGATATGGTGCTGCTCCTGTAACATGTATATCACAGAATGAATGTGCCAGCGTTGTAAAGTGTGAATGCAGTATGAATACATTAACTATCATCTGTTGCATTTATTGTATAATACTATATATAATAAAAACATAATGTTGTGCAATCTGGTCTTAATCCAAAAAAGTTTCCACATCTGTGCCCTTGACGAAAGACAGTCCACATTACAGGTAAATGAAACAACTTGCCATTAACTGTGCCGTGCAAATGAAATTATCCACAGCTGTCAGACCCCACAGACCAGACAGAGAGTGAGACTTTCTCACCCCTCACTCACACCCTCCCACCATGTCTAGTTTAATTATTCTAATAAATAAGGTTCATTAACACAAGCAGAATGAAGAAACCTCATAATAATGTTTGATAAACACAAAGACGATAAGCTCACTGTTTGTATCTTCTCCTATTAACTAGCAGTGTTTTCCTGAAACTTTCTTCTAAACCTTCTACTTCAAGTTTGCCGTTACAGAAATGTAACAGCAAACAAGCTCTGGTCTCTTCTTGTAATCTCTGAATTTTACAAACATGATAATTGTAACAGGAAGTAATATTAACACCCGACTTTTCTCTGATACAGAATCAATATTTTATTATCATTTTGTTGATTTGTCTCATTTCATATCAGATGTGCCAGGGGTATGAATAAATTTGGACTGAATCAGGAGTCGCTGGTCTTGAACGGATACTCGCCTCTTGAGATATGACTCTGGCCATCTGTCCTCTTCAGCTTCTATCCTTTAGACCTGTTGGAGCAACCCCTAAACCTAATGCTGCAGGAAGGCTGGAGGCGGAAGGCTGCAGGCTTCCCATCCCGAGGAGGATCCTGGCAGAAAAAAAAATAGGAATGACAAACAATAAATTGAACGGATGTTGGTAGGAATTAAGGAGGACGATGTTGTGAATGTACCTGGTTTCATTAAACCAAATTTGAACGCAACAGTTCAGGCTGCCTTTGAACGCACTGATTAGCTTTGGACACTTTATGCAGTGCTCTATATCGCAGAAGTGTTTTAGGTGTACTTTTATGACAATAATTAGTCTCATCAAGAATTAACAATATAAATTCAAATGTGGTTGAAATAGAGAAATGATGATGAAGAAGGCATTGTACGAATGGATGAGATGGATGAATGGGATGAAAACAGGTTCCTAAAGAATGGATAAACTAGATGAGTGAGATGAAAAAGGATCAGTAGAATGAGTGGGATGGGGACCAATGCAAAGATGAATGAAGTGGCTTCTTAAAGAGGTAGGAAGATAAAGTACCTAAAATCTGGATCTGTTTTCACAACACTTGGCTCACTACAGGTGTGTTACACTGTTTTCTAGATCTTGGCAGCACTTAAACAGGCAATTTTACATCGCTGTGAGCAAGGTTCAAACCTGTGTGGGGAAACCCCACTGGATTTCCAGTCCAATATAATATATAATAGAATAATATAAGTGGACGGGCTGGGCTAAGGAAGGATAGTTTAAAAACATATAGGTAAGATGAGTTGGAGGAAGCAGGTCAAGAATTAATAGTAAAATTTAACATTAACATTTAATTTTTATCTAAAATAGGGAAATGATGACGAAGAAGGCTTTGAAAGGATGGATGAAAAGGATGAATGGGATAAAAATGGGTTCCTAATGGGTGGATAATGCCAAGATGAGAAGAAAGAGTGGCTTAAAATAGTAAAAACACAAAAGATCAAGAGATTCAATGAGATGAATAGAGTTAAAGAGGAGAAAAAGTTGATGTGTGAAAAATATGACCAAGAAGAATTATGTGGAGAATGAGTGTTCTAAAAAAGCTTCATACTAAGAAGTTAGGTCAATGAGTGGGATGTAAAATGGTTGTCAAAAGAAACCAGGATAATTGGTGGGATAGGGACTATTGCTAACGGGAAGAGAGGTCAAAATAATCAGTGAGATTAAGAAGTTTCTAAAATCTACAAGGAGGATGGGTGAGGGGTAAAAAGGAGGATGAGGAGGATGAGCTGACTGACAAAAGTGTGTAAAAGTCAGAAGCTGCATTGGCCAAGTTAGTGCAAACAAACAAGGATTTTGACTTAATATATAAAGGAGGATGGGTGAAGAGAGAAGATGAGGCATGGACTGACGTTGAGTGATTGAGGGAGGAAGAAGGAAAGGGGTATGGAGTAGTCTTAAGTAGACTATCCATGTGATTACAGGTGTGGACAAGGAGAAAGTTTGCTTACGAGCCAGACCCCTGGGTCTCCACAACTGTTCATCTATCTTTTTAAGCTACACATCTCTAATGTACAAACTGTTTACAGATGAACCCATTCAGAAGCTCTCAGGAATCAGGAAGGAAGTAAGAGAAAATCTGCACAAATTTTTCTGGATCTGTTTAGGAAGACAGGACAGTTTTTTGGATTTTTTTATAAACTATGTTAATAAACTAATTTAGAAAGACCCATTAAATCGCTGTGAGCAGGGTTCGAACCTACGCGGGGAAACCCCATTGGATTTCGAGTCCAACGCCTTAACCTCTCAGCCATCACAGCTGTAGCCACATATGGGTTCTCAGAAGAAACAGTTGAAAAAGGGGTCATACATAGGAATAGATGTAGGCACTGTTGGAAAGCTACAGTACCACCAGTTTAATGAGGAATCCATTCATAAGGTCAGAAGAATCAGGTGAACATCTGCATTATTGTTTCTGGCTCTGTTTAGGCAGACAGGCATTTTCTTTTAATCCCAGGCAAAATACTCTTTGGCGTTGACATATATGATTTAAAATAGGGGAATGATGATGAAGAAGGCTTTGTAAGGAGGAGTGAGAAGGACGAATGGGATGAAAATGGATTCCTAAGAAATGGATAACGCCATGATGAGAAGAAAGAGAGGACTTGTGATTAAGAAGAGCGATGGGGAGAATGAGTGTTACACAAAAGGTTCATTATAAGAAGTTAGGTCAATGTGTGGGATGTAAAACAATTGTCCAAAGAAACCAGTAGAATAAATGGGATAGGGACCACTGGGAAGAGAGATCAAAATAATCAGTGAGATGAAGTTTCTAAAAAGTACAAGGAGGATGGGTGGGGGGAAAGGATGAGGGATGGACAGAGGATGAGTGATCAAGAGGGGAGCAAAGGGGTGTTGTGAGAACAACAGAAATGTGCTGCATGTGAGAGACAGGTATAAGTAGACTTTTTATCTGACTACAGGTGTGGACAAGGAGTAAACTTACTTGCAAACCAATATGAGACCTGGGTCTCCTTCTTTCTTTTTTAAGCTAAGATCCACTCATCTTCAACATTCATATCATTTTTAAATCCAACAGAAACTACAGTACAAACAGTTTACAGTTGAAACCATTAAGAGCCTCACAAGAATCAAGAACATCAGAGAATTTTTGGGTAATCACACTTGTGTTTAGGTTTGAAAGGCATGTATTGTCTGGATTTTTTAAAACCATCTTTGCATTTGACAAGTAAACAAGGTAGCTCATATTACTCTGAGAAGGGTTCAAACCTGCACGGGGAAACCCCGTCAGACTTCAACTGCAACGCCTTAACCCCTCGGCCATCTCAACTTCAGACAACTCTGGGTTCTCAGAAAAAAAGGTTCTATAGCGGTCACTCAACCCGCTCATCCATCTTTCAAACAATGCCTCCAACTCATCCTATTCCCATTTCTCCCATTTCTTCTGACCAGGAAGGTTTGTCTCTGGCTGTGATGGCCGTGAGGTTAAGGCGTTGAAATCCAATGGGGTTTCCCCACGCAGGTTAGAACCCTGCTCACAGCGATGTGAAGTAGACTTCTTTTCATCACCCAACGAGCTTTAGCCTTTGATACAAAAAATATCCGAATAAACACAGGCAGAAAACACCTGCATGAGTAGTGCAGACGTTGTCCTGGTTCCTTCCTAACTGACTTTGTGTTCTTCCATATTTTTAAGCCACAACTGACACCAGACTCCACTGTTCATATCATGTTTAAATCCAAGAGAAAGTACAGTACAAACAGTTTACAGATGAACCCGTTCAGAACCTCCCAAGAATCAGGAAGGAAGTAGGAGAACGTTGGCATTGATCTTTCTGGCTCTGTTTAGGAACAGGTTTTTTGGATTTATTTTTTATTCCAGGCTAAAAGCATCTTCAAGCTTGCTAAATACACAAGGTGCTTGCCATCGCTGTGAGCAGGGTTCGAACCTGCGAGGGGAAACCCCATTGGATTTCGAGTCCAACGCCTTAACCTCTCGGCCATCACAGCTGATGTCACATCTGGGGTAAATGCAACAATTCCTAGAAACTAGGTTAATATCTGTGAAAAGTACAACCAACGGGTGTATTTTTAGACAGCAGGAGTACTTGGTTACTGTAGAGAAATGAATCTAGCACCAAGTTAAATTATACTACTGTACAACTGAACAATTTCTCTCATATATTTATCAGTCAAACAATTTATCAATCTTGTGTGATTTATTGCCTAGAGTTTTATTTATTTCTCAGTGTCACTCTTTACTAACAAATCAGAGACAATGAACACTTCAGCTAAGAAAACTACCATGAGCTGCTATTGAAATCAAAAGTATTTTTCACTATTCAAACTAATTTGCAGATTTTTAAAAAACAGCAGCAAAGTTAAAGGCATGCAGGAAGCATTCAGATTCAGTCAGTCAGTCAGTCATTTTCTACCGCTTATTCCATAGTGGGTCACGGGGAAGCTGGTGCCTATCTCCAGCAGTCTATGGGCGAGAGGCGGGGTACACCCTGGACAGGTCGCATTCAGATTCACACCAAGATAAAATATAAAAATAAGAAATAAGAGACTGTACAAGATCACATTTACAACATAAGAAAAAATAGTCTATAGTTATTAAAAATAGCATACTCAGATCCAAGAAATGTGCAACGGAATAGGATAATTTAGGCATACGTACAAACTGTCCATGCATATTTGTGTATGAAAACAAAATAAGAAATAACAATGAAGAATCTATAATTACTACTATGAACAAAAATAAGAGCATGGCGACAATTAATAAATGTTTAACAATCTAATTATTCAACTGATTAAGATCATATTGTTATCCAGACTTCATTAGACTTTCATGAAACAGTGTGTGGAAAGATCTCCACTTAATCTCATTACCATTTGATTTAAAGGCGAACAAAGGGAAAGGGAAGAGGTCCCTACTCTACAGATCAGTTCTTATCCAGGTTCAGATCAGCTTATTCTCAACGCCCAGCAAGCAGGCAGTCAAAAGAGGATCACTCCTTTCTCTTTCTCTCTGGTTGAAGTAAACTCTGGGATTGCACTGGGTTACTAGGTAAGTGTTGTCCAATAGAAACCAAAAGACTTCTCCAAAACAATCCTCTGGGCATAGATGATGAGGCTGGACCCGGTCGATGGCACATCAGGCTTGGCTGGTATTAATCCTGATGATGAGGTAACCAGCTGTGAAAGTGTCTCTCTTGTGAGGTCACAGGGAAGTGGCTCCAATCAGGTGGAGGCACAATACAGGAAGGATTTATGGGGTCTTTTTTTAACCTTTGAGTTACAAACCCTAAAATAACATTTAAAAGAAGGAGATCCTTTTCACACAAGGCCCAAAAAATTCTCCAGTCTCCTTAAACCAAAGCAACAATTTACTTTATACATGAAAACTATCAGAAAATAATAGTACGGAAGTAATTTATAATTAGCCAAAGACAGAATAATTTAATTAAATATGAATTCATAATAATTAATTATTTAATTAATTAAGTACCATATTTGTAACCTTAACTATCTAGATTTCTCAGCAAACCAGGTCTGACCTTTGGCCTGGAAAAAGTGCTTAGTCACTGAATGATAACAATAACACAGATGTCAACTTTTTTAGAGGTTACTGAACTTACTCTTTTAGGTTTAGTTGCAACAAACTCATTAGTATTGTCATCTTAAAACCAAAGGAATGAGAAGATTCAACATCGCTGTGAGCAGGATTCAAACCTGCGTGGGGAAACCACATTGGATTTCAAGTTCAACGCCTTAACCTCTCGGCCATCACAGCTGAGTGACAGAAAAAATAACCAAGTGACAAAAGATAGAGGTGTGGGAAAACATGCCAGAGGGATTGTTAAGGCAAAAGTTGTGTGGAATAACAGGTTCTACTAATTTTAATGATCACAAATCCATTCACTATCTAAACCTTCTTCTTCATGCGGGGTCGCGGTGTCTACCTCCAGTCTATTATAAAGCAACACAGGAACACCAATTAACCTAACAATCATGTCTTTGGATTGTGAAAGAAGCCAGAGTAGCCAAGGAGAACATGCAAACTCCATGCAGAAAGAGCTTCAAACTCAGCACCTTCTTGCTACAAGGCAACAGTGCCAACCACCTCTTCACTGCTCAGCAAACCACATCACATAAAGCACCCTGACAGGCTTTAAAGTTAAATCTGCACTCTTTGTTATTCTGATTATATAAAGTGTAGATGCCAGTTCCTCTAGTATCATTAGCTACTACACGCAAATGTAGGCCGAACACAGTTAACATAATTAAAACATTCAGATTTCATCTTATTAAAACTGTTTTTGGGGCAGTCTGCTTTCTGCCGAGCTTGGAAATCACATCGTTTCGGCTTCAAGGAAAAAGTCTTGCTGCTTGGAATCAAAATAGGAACAAGGGAAGGAGGACTGTAGTCTCTTGTACAGTACTGTTTATCTCAGGATCCAAAAAATATTTACCCACAACAAGCAGAGCTGTTAAACAGCCTCTGGGCGAGAGACAAATCTAAACTGGAACAAATGGGGTCACTGGTTTAGTGATTTATTAAGGAGGTTGTGCTTGCAGGGGGAAACCTTCTGGCCAAGCCACAACATAAGAAAAAGAGGATTTAGGATGAGGATGGAGGAAGGAAGATTCTGCACAAAAATACTACAGTAAAAATCCTAACATCAGTGTTGTTTGTGGTTGTTCATCAATCTGTGACTTAAGTCTGAGATAATTGTGCAATGTATTTTATGCAATGCAAGATGTACAGTATCCTCCATGATAGTTGTAACCCCTGATAAATACATAAAACACCTTAGAAATAAATTTCTCTTTTATTGCTGTAACCACAAAACCCACCTTTAATTAGAGCACATTTATTCACTGGGAGAAAAAAAATACTTCACTTCATTAAGCTGATCAGAGCTTTTAGGAACCTCTAATCAGAAATCCATTACTTTCTGTTGTTTCCCTGGGGTATAAATAAGATGTCACACAGAGGCCCATTTCTTTTAGCAGGTGGCCACACAACTCCATAAAGACCCAAGTTTATCCAACCACCACACAGTGTTAGCAGGATGGAAAGGGCGTTTTCAATAAATCTCCACAGCTGTTGGAGAACGGAAGCAGAGAGGCGAATCTTGAGGTCACCAAGTCTCCATTACAACCATTAGACTTTATCTACACGCCAACTGTTTTTTGTATGGCATATCAGGACAAATCTGGCCCACCAACACAATCCTAAACATGTTGGGTTTGCATGTTGACTTTAACTGGAACTGTGTTTCAATCGCGACTAAGATTGAGTTTTTCAGCAATAAATACACTACGTATTGCCTCTCAACTGTACATGAACTTTAATGACATCCTATTCCAAATGCATAATGTCCAGTTTGTTGATGGACCCCCTGTTCCCAGCAATAGCAGCTTTAACTATTCTGTAAACATCTTCCACAAGGTTTAGGAGTGTGTTCACAGTTAGAGATACTGTAGCCTCCGCTCTAATTCATCCCAAAGGTGTTCAAGAAGGTTGAGGTCAGGACTCTGTTCAGGCCAGTCAAGTTTCTCCACAACAAACTTAAACAAATGTCTCTCCACATCCATGGAAGTGGTTGGAACACCAGAATTCGTTGATTTGGTGCTGGGACCCAATACTGGGGGTCCCAGCATGACGGTATGCGCAGCCGAGGGGTGTGAGCAGATTGACACTGCTAAGACACTCCTCCTGGGTCTGATTGGTTGTTTCTGACCAGGAGCGGTGTATTTCTGGAAATGGCAGTAGGACCACTGGGAGGAGCTGGATGATATTTAAAGATCATCTGTCTAATATTTTACTGTCAGGACATAGTGACAGTTTTATCAAATATGTAAAAAATACATTTTTACAAAACTTACCCACTGTAGCTTTAAAACCGAAAGACATTTTAGACACAAATCCACTGGCATCTCCCACCAGCGGGTTGCCTTATCCCTGTCTTATGAACCATTAACTATGTTTGAGAATGAGACCTTTTGCCCTTGTTGTAGCTTACAAAAACATACATGTATGTGTGCAACTTTCACACTTCATGCATGTAAGTGAGCGCAGAGCTAATCTCCAGCTAATACATTAAAAGAGCATGTCAAGGTGTAAATCAGATGTGGTTTAAACAGGTGCAAAACTTTAGGTAGTCAGTCTCTTGAGACAATAACACTAAGACAAACATTAAATGGCTAAAATACTGGATAAAACGTTCACAGTCTGTGATAAATGTAATGCTGGTGTAAAAATGGTAAGTGATGTCATATTTTGTTTTTTCAGATTCAGGATGGAATGATGTAGTATCAACTCTCTGCAAACCTTTAAAACACTGCGATACGGCTGCAACACCAGCCGAGGGCGATAAAAAATCAAGTAAGTGTTTTATCTTTTCTGTTGACAACACACACTTTACACATATACAAGTTTTAGAAATGTAGTGAGATGAAAAATATTTTCCCCCTTGACCTGGTTGTGTTTTTTTTTTCTTCACACTTAAATGTTTCAGATCATCAAACAAATTTTTAGAGATATTGTTGCATTAGTGGCCTTTCTTGACAGTAGATAGACAGGAAATAGTTCAGAGAGAAAGGGGTCAGGGTACCCTAACCGTATTCTTCGTATATCAGACAAAAATAACCTAAATAAACACAATAGCAGTATTGAAATCATAATTTAATTTATTAAGTGAAATAACGTTCCAAACCAACTTGGCCCAATGTGAAAAATCAATTTCCCTTCTGAAGCTATTAACTGGTTGTCCCACCTTTACAGACAATAGCTGCATGAAGTGTTTGTCATAGCTGGCAAAACGTTTTTTCCATCGCTGTGGAGACATTGTGGTCAATTCTTCCTGGCAGAATTGTTTTAATTTAGCCACTTCATCTTTCTAAGTGTTCTAAGATTATTAATAGCATTTCAGTGGTATAGCAAGTTCAGACTTTGACTGGAGATCTCCAAAACTTTTTCTTTGAGTCATTGAGAGGCGGACTTGCTCATGGTCCTGCTGCATAACTGATGGTCAGACATTCTCCTTCAGGGCTTTTTAACACAGCAAAGTTTATTGTTTTATCAACCACGGCAAGTCATCCAGTCCTGAAGCAGCATAAGCAGACCAAGACATGCTGTGTTAGTTTTTGGGCAGATGCAGCAGGATACACACCTTTCAAAAATTACTTTTTTAACTCCAGTCCGCTGAATTCTTTCCCTAAGGTGTCGGGGATCATCTATATGGGTTTTCTTGGCAAATGTGGTTTTGGCCTGGGATTTCTGAGACAGATGTCATTTCTTACCAGTCTCTCGTTCTGATCTTACAGTAACTGAGGTAAATGAGGCCAGCAGTGCTTTTGATGTTCTTGGTTCTTTTATTACCTTCTACATGAGTTGTCCATGAGCTCTTGGAGTAATTTTATTAGACTGGCCACTCCTGAAAAGGTTCACCACTGTCGCAAAGCCTTAGAAATGGCTTTGTAACCCTTCCAGACTGATGTAAATGATTGTGTTTCTCATCTGTTGTTGAATTTATGTGTTGCTTTTTGAGATCTTTTATCCAGCTTCATCTTGTCAGTACGGTTCTATTTGATGTGATCTCTTGAGTCTACCGGTCTGGCAATAATCTGGCCTGGGTGTGGCTACTAAAACTGAACCAAAATATGTGGTTAATCACAGTAAATTCATAATATAACACGGGAGGCAGGTTACATTTCACATAAGCTCAGGTTATATAGAACCGCTTGTTTTCTGTAACAAATAATTTCATTAGAAATATATATTTCTGATATTAAAATATGTTTTTGTTGACCTGAAACATGTAACTTGGCAACAAAGGTAAAACAGAAAAAACCTGTAAGGTGGTAAATACTTTTTCACAGCACTTGCTCTGAATGGAAATTACAGGAAAACTTCACAAAATATTTATACTCTGTGTTTTATGCATTTTTGTATCCCACAATAGGTAAGACCAGTTTAGAGGTGAAAGAGAATCAGGACATGAAAATCTTTGGAGGGAGTGACTTTTCAAGAAAATACCAGCTATCAACATTTTATGCTGCTTCGCCCAAACATAACCAGATGATCTTACAGAGAAATCAGTTGTTTCTGGATGGAAAAAGTCGTTTGCTATTCCAAAAGCTCTCATGTTGTAAAAGATCAGCCTGGACAGTGTCTCAGAAGAACGCACTGGTGCAGCTCAATGAGTTACGACCTGGTTTGCGTTACGAGATTGTGTCTAAAACTGGTCCCCTGCATGCCCCAGTGTTCTGTGTGGGTGTGGAGGTTAATGGTTTCCACTTCGAGGGTCGAGGACCTACAAAAAAGCAGGCAAAGATGAGGGCTGCAGAGCTGGCTCTCCAGTCGTTCATCCAGTTCCCGAACACCTCCCAGGCTCACATCATCATGGAGAACTTGGATTTTACAACAGATGCTGTCCTCACAGAGTTTGAACCATCGCTGCTTAAAAACTGTGATTTCCTACATTGCAACACAGCAAAGACGGAGGTCTTCTCCAACATCTGCAAGAACAGAAAATCTCGTCCATTCAATCTGGACCTAATTTCCTCAACAAATTTAAAAAGACAGTTTATGCTTTTGAAGCAGCTGAATCCGGTGGCGCTGCTCAACGAGCTGCGACCGGGACTCAGATACATGTGTCAGGTGGAAAAAGTCCGAGGTTCACCAGTGAAGAATTTTATCACGGTGGTCAGACTGGAAGGGAAGGTATTTGAAGGTTGCAGTCACACTAAAAGACAGGCCAAGGCCCAGGCAGCAACTGCAGCACT